TTAAGTGAGATGTATATGTATAGTAATACTTTATTATAAAGAATTATAAGCCCATGTCATAAACTAGATTTTTAAAACTCTAGATGTTTAAATGCCCAAAGGGAAAAAAAAAGATGGCTTTTCTATATATTATCACACACCTATGTTCCCACAATAAAGCAATCTTGAAAAACAATGATTAAAAATCAGATGAAGCAAGTAACTAAAACAACATGGTACTGGAAAAAAAAAAAGACACATAGACCAATGCAACACAATGGAACACTCAGAAAGAAAGCCACACATCTACAACCATCTCATCTTCAACAAGGCTGACAAAAACAAACAACGAGGAAAGGACTCCCTATTCAATAAATGGTGTTGAAATAACTGGCTAGCCATATGCAGAAGATTGAAGCTGGACTCCTACCTTTAACCAGATATAAAAATTAATTCAAAATGTCAAAATGGACTAGAGATTTAACTATAAGACTGCAAACTATTAAAATCCTGAAAGATAACCTAGAAAATACTCTCCTTAACATCATTCTTGGCAAATAATTTTTGGCTAAGTCTCCCAAAGCAATTGCAACAAAAGCAAATATTGACAAATGAGGCCTCATTAAACTTTCATTTAATTTTGCTTCTGTACATCAAAAGAAACTCTCAATAGAGCAAACAGACAATCTTTTGCAAGATGAAAACTATGTATCTAACAGAGCCTAGCACCCAGAATCTGTAGGGAACTTCAAGAAGCAAAAAACTAATAACCTCATTAAAAAATGGGCAAAGGGCATGAATAGACACTTCTCTAGAGAAGACATAAAAGTGGCCAACAAACAAATGAAAGAAATGCTCATTATCAAAAATCATCAGAGAAATGCAAATCAAAACTATAATGAGATACCATCTCCCAGTCAGAATGGCTATTATTAAAAAGCCAAAAAATACAAAGCTGAGTTTAAACCAACAAAGATCAAAAAAGACAAAGAAGGGCATTACATAATGGTAAAGGGTTCAATTCAACAAGAAGACTTAACTGTTGTAAGTATCTATGTACTCAAGACAGGAGCACCCAGATTCTAATGATTTAAGCATCTAGTTTTTATATGGTGACAGTTAAAAAGGAAGTGTTCATGATATAAAAATAAATGAAATAAACAAAATCCAATTTAAGAAGTTATTATTTCTCATTTTAAACTGTATATCTAAAATGATATATGCACATTGGCTGCTTTATAACTATTTATCAGCATCCTATCAATCATGAAGTCATTTCTTTTTTTAACTTTTAACTTCAGGGGTACAAGTGCTGGTTTGTTACATAGGTAAACTTGTGTCATGGGAGTTTGTTGTGGAGATGATTTCATCACCCAGGTATTAAACCTAGTACCCATTAGTTATTTTTCCTGATCCTCTCCCTTCTCCTGCCCCCTACCTTCGAGTACATCCCAGTGTCTGCTGTTCCCATCTATGTGTTCATGAGTTATCATTTAGCTCCCACTAATAAGTAAGAACATGCAGTATTTGGTTTTCTGTTCCTGCATTAGTTTGCTAAGGATAGTGGCCTCCAGCTATACCTATGTCCCTGTAAAGGACATTATCTCATTCTTTTTAATGGTTGCACAGTATTCCATGATGTTTATGTGCCACATTTTCTTTACCCAGTCTATCACTGATATGCATTTATGTTGATTCCATGTCTTCGTTATTGTGAATAGTGTTCCAATGCATTATTCATGTGCATGAGTCTTTATAATAGAATTATTTATATTCCTTTGGGTATATACCAAGTAATGGGATTGCTAGGTCGAATGGCATTTCTATCTTTAGGCCTTTAAGGAATCACCACACTTCTTCCACAATGGTTGAACTAATTTTACTCTCCATAACCTCAACAAAATCTGTATTTTTTAACTTTTAATAACTGCCATTCTGACTTGTATGAGATAGTATCTCATTATGGTTTTGATTTGCATTTCTCTCATAATCAGTGATGTTGAGCATAAAGCAAGATCTTAGAGACCTTCAAGGAGATTTAATCTCTCATACAAAAACAGTGGGAGACTTCAACATCCCTCTGACAGTATTAGACAGATTATTGAGGCAGAATATTCACAAAGATACTCAGGGCTTGAACTCAACACTGCATGAAATGGACCCGATAGATATCTAAAGAACTCACCACCCCAAAATTACAGAATATACATTCTTCTCATCATCATATGGCACATACTCTAAAATCAATCACACAATCAGACAAAATAATTCACAGCAAATGCAAAAAACTGAAATCATACTAACTACTCTCTCTGACCCAGCTCAATAAAAATAGAACTCAAGGCTAAGAAAATTGCTCAAAACTATACAATTACATGGAAATTAAACAATCTGCTCCTGAATGACTTTTGGGTAAATAATAGAATTAAGGCAGATATCAAGAAGTTCTTCAAAACTAATGAGAACAAAGGTACAACACACCAGAATCTCTAGGACACAGCTAAGGCAGTATTAAGAGGGAAATTTATAGCACTACATATTCACATCAAAAAGTTATAAATGTCTCAAATTAACGTCACAACTAAAAGAACTAAAGAAGCAAGAGCAAACCAACCCTAAATCTAGCAGAAGACAAGAAATAACCAAAATCAGAGCTGAACTGAAGGAGACTGAGACACAAAGAAATTCAAAAGATTAACAAATCCAGAAGTTGGTGTTTTGAAAAAATTAATAAGACAGACTGCTAACTAGACTAATAAGAACAGAGAGAAGATCCGAATACACACAATTAGAAGTGATAAGAGGGATGTTATTATAATACCACGGACAGACAAACTACCATCAGAGACTACTATGAATACCTCTGTGCATACAAACTAGAAAATCTAGAAGAAATGGATGAATTCCTGAGCACATACATCCCCCAAAGACTAAAGCAGAAAGAATCTGAACCAATAATAAGCTCTGAATTGAATTGGTAATAAATATCCAAGCAACCAAAAAAAGCTCAAGACCAAATGTTTCCAAAGCTGAGTTGTACCAGATGTATATAGAAGAGCTGGTACCATTCCTACTAAAACTATTCCAAAAAATTTAGGAGGTGGGACTTTTCCCCAACTCATTCTATGATGCCACAATCATCCACATACCAAAACATGGCAGACACACACACACACACACACACACACACACACACACACACACACAGAAAACTTAAGGCCAGTATCCTTGATGAGCATTGATGCAACAATCCTCAACAAAATACTAACAAACCAAATCCAATAGCACATCAAAAAGCTAATCCACCACAATCAAGTAGGCTTTATCCCTGGATGGAAAGTTGGTTCAATATACACAAATCAATAAATGTGATTCATCACATAAACAGAACTAAAGACAAAAACGCATGATTATCTCAATAGAAGCAGAAAAGGCTTTAAATAAAATTCAACATCTTTTTGTACTAAAAACTATGAACAAACTAGGTATTGAAGGAACATATTTCAAAATAATGAGAGCCATCTATGACAAACCCACAGCCAACATTGTACTGAATTGACAAAAGCTGGAAGCATTCCCCTTGAAAACTAGCACAAGACAAGGATGTCCTCTCTCACCACTCCTATTCAACATAATGTTAGAAGTCCTGCCCAGAGCAATCAGGCAAGAAAAAGAAATAAAAGACATCCAAATAGGAAGAGAGGAAGTAAAACTATCTTTGTTTGCAGATGATTCTATATCTAGAAAACCCTAGAGTCTCAGCCCAAAAGCTCCTTGATCTAATAAACAACTTCAGCAAAGTATCAGGATACAAAATTAACATACAAATATCACCAGCATTCTTATACACCAACAACAGCCAAACCAAAAGCCAAATCATGAGTCAAGTCCCATTCACAATTGCCTCAAAAAGAATAAAATGCCTAGGAATACAGCTGACCAGAGAAGTGAAAGACATCTACCATAAGAATTACAACTTCTGCTAAACAAAATCAGAGAGGAAACAAACAAATGAAAAAACATTCCATGCTCATGGATAGGAAGAATCAACATCATTAAAATGGCCATACTTCCCAAAGCAATTTACAGATTCAATGCTATTCCTATCAAACTATCAATGACATTCTTCACACAACTAGAAAAAACTATTTTAAAATTCATATGGAACCAAAAAATAGCTTAAGTAGACAAGGCAATCCTAAGCAAAATGAACATAGCTGGAGGCATCTCATGACCCAACTTCAAACTATTCTACAGGACTACAGTAACCCAAACAACATGGTGCTGGTACAGAAAGAGGTACAGAGACCAACTGAACAGAATGGAGAGGCCAGAAATAAGGCCACACACCTATGACCATCTGATCTTTGACAAACCTGACTAAAACAAGCAATGGAAAAGGACTGCCTGTTCAATAAATGGTGCTGGGATAACTGGCTAGCTATATGCAGAAGATTGAAACTGGACCCCTTCCTTTAACCATATACAAAAACCAACTCAAGATGGATTAAAGACTTAAAGGAAAACCCAAAACTATAAAAACCCTGGATGACCTAGGCAACACCATTCTGGACATAAGAATGGGCAAAGACTTCATAACAAAGACACCAAAAGAAATTGCAAAAAAGCAAAAATTGGCAAATTGGATCTAATTAAACTAAAGAGCTTCTGCACAGCATAACAAACAACAGAGTAAATAGACAACCTACAGAATAAGATTAAGTATTTGCAAACTATGTATCTGAAAAAGGTCTAATATCCAGCATCTGTAATGAACTTAAACAACTTTACAGAAAAAACAATCCCATTAAAAAGTGGTCAAAGGACAAAAACACACACTTTTCAAAAGACATACATAAAGCCAATGAGCATATGAGAAAAAGCTCAGCATCACTGATCATCAGAGAAATGCAGATCAAGACCACAGTGAGATACCATCTCATGCCAGTCAGAATGGCTATTATTAAAAAGTCAAAAAATAAAGGATGCTGATGACATTGCAGAGAAAAGGGAACACTTACACATTGTTGGTGGGAGTATAAGTTGGTTCAACCATTGTGGAAATCAGTGTTGTGATTCCTCAAAGATCTAAAGATAAAACTACCATTCAACCCAGTAATATCATTGTTGGGTATATATCCAAAGGAATATAAATTATTCTATCATAAAGTGTATGTTCATTGCAGTACTATTCACAGTAGCAGAGATATGGAATCAACTTAAAGGTCTGTCAATGGTAGAATGGATAAAGAAAATGTGGGACATCATATACGCCATGGAGTAATACGCAGCCATGAAAAAGAATGAGTTATGTCCTTTGCAGGGATGTGAGTGAAGCTAGAGGCCATTATCCTTAGCAAGCTAACTCAGGAATAGAAAACCAAATACTGCATGTTTTCACAAGTGGGAGCTAAATGAAGAGAACACATGGACACATGGGGGGGAAACCATAGACATTGGGTGCACCTGAGGGTGGAGGTGGGGAGGAAGAAGAGGATCAGAAAAAATAACTATTGGGTAATAGGGTTAGTACCTGAATGACAAAATAATCTGTACAACAAATCCCCTTGACATGATATACCTATATAACAAACTTGCACATGTACCCTTGAACTTAAACTTTTTTCAAGAAAAATATCAAAACACAACAGATGCTGGTGAGGCTGCTCTTGCTAGGAATATAAATTAGCTCAGCCACTGTGGAAAGCAGTCTGGAGATTTCTCAAAGGACTTAAAACAGAGCTACCATTTGACCCAGCAAAGCCATTATTGGGTATTTACCCAGTGTCCTACGTGTGGGTCCTGCCCTAGCTGCAGCACAGTCTGCGAGTGTCCCTGTCCACCACCCTTCTGTAGTCACCCAGCCTTGCAGGCTCTGGCAGCCTTTGTTTCCTCCACCAGGAGGCAGGTTTTTAAAGCTGTCGTTTTCCTCAGTGTTTTCACAGGCACTGAGACTTTTTTCCTATTCATTGACAGCCATTTTTCAAGTTTGCAAAAGGAGGAATAAATCACATCTAACTCTAAAAATAGTGAGTTTCTCTACAATCCAAATTCTTGAGAGCCTTTGTGCTTTTATTATTTCCTATGCAAGTCCTGATGCATATGGGTACTGGAGGGCAGCACAGCAATTACGAGCAGACCAGGTCTGGCAGCCTGGGTTTGAGTCCTGGCACCACCATCCACCAGTTGTATCATCTAAGGAAAGTTCCAAAGTCTCACCTTCCTCAGCTCCTTTATCTATAAATGGGGCTAATAACAGCATCCACCTTAGAGGGTTGATCTTAGGACTGAATTAGTTAATATAAATAAAGTCTTGGAGCAGTACTTGACATACAGTGAATACCATTATTTTTATAATGTGAACATCAACCTCTTCTGACAACTAGGAACATGACAGAAATATGTCTCCTCCACTTTGATCTGAATGTGGAACCAGGTCATTAACAGCTCCAGATTCTACCTGCTAGCTCCATGTGTCTCCTCAAGGAAGGTGGAGAGAAGGCCCTTTGCAAAGAGAAGGAGCGTCAACAAGCAGAAGACGCGTGCTCACCCTGGCTCCACACGTGAGGACTATTCAGATGTTGCAAGCCTTGCTGCTCCCTGGGTTATAGGATCGAGGTGCTTGAAAAGGGTGGTAAACCCCATGCCTGAAGTTACAGGAGGACAGTGGGGAAGATGTTAGCATAAAATAACCAAAAGTGAGCCATGAGCCTCCCTGTAATGAAAATCCAAAACTTTCCAATGCACTATTTTGCCTGCATGAATATGGCCTAAGATAAGACTTTTTAAAAGTCTGGCACTGTAGTCATCTTCAAGCCATCCTTTCACTTGTGTTTTCTAAATGTAAATGAATCATCAAGCACAGAACATCCTTGCAGAAAATTAGGAAAATCATCACATTTATTCTGATCGATGAGCAAGAGCAAATCTTTACTTCAGTCATGGTTAACAGTCCGGAGTTTTAGGGACAGTTGATGAAAAGTGCCATAAAAGAAGCATGTTTAGTCAAATTTGCTTGAAACTCTGATTGAAAATTGTCCTAACAGCTGAGCCCTTTTACTCCCAGAGACACAGCCCTCCCTCTGTTCTCCCCTGAAAATTCCAGTCTCTGACTCCCCCGGCTGGGGGTCATGAGGAAATCACAGAAACCTGGCGCATGAAATGACAGACAAATGGGGAGGTGCACTTTCCATAATTGCTTGGAGTTTTCCCTGTTTATTAACATAGAGGCAGAGAAACCATCATGTAGTTGCAATGAAGAGAGAAGTCCACAGCACTGTTTTACCTGATGGACCTGGACGCCTGCCTCATTAAATCACACATGCGTTGAAGATGCATGCACCCCTAGCTCAGAGCAGCATCTCTGGCATGGTGGCTGCTGTTGCTGGAGAGGCGGCCAGGATCTGTTTGTGTGCTTTGCAGATCTCCATGGTGGAAGGGGCAAAAGGTCTGAAATTGTCTCACGAAGGAAATTACTGTTCAGCCTTATCCATCAAAAGCAGAAATGTAGAAATGAGACTTTCAAATGTTGCCTCAAGTAGAATTTTAAGATCATGTTCATGCTACTTTTCTTATCCAAGTTCTTCTAGCATGATAATGAGCAGCAAAGAAGGGAGAAAATGAGCAGCGTCAGAAGCACCTGGCTACAGCCAACTCCAGTTACCTGTCTTCAGATGCACAATGGACACTGGTTTTGATCTTTGCAATCCATTGCAAAAACCCCCTTGTTCTGTTATACTTCTCCATTCTGTTTGTTTTGCAGATAAAGGAGAACTTCCCAACTGTTTTCCCTTTTCCTTACTTTGTGAAAAACAAATGATCTTAGAGGCTAGCAGGGAACATAGGTAACAAGAAGACACAGACTGTGCTGTGACTAAGGTGGTGGCAACACAGACTCACAAGCCAGAGCTCTGGTGCTAGTCTTGGAGCTCAGGTGAACTGCCTGTGCCCTCTGTACCCCTCTGTCAAGTGGGGATGGCAGCATAATTGTCCTTTGGAGTGTGAATTGATATGCACAATGTACTGTATAGGTCATATTAATGTAAACTCACTCCAGAGTATGGGTGGATGTCTGTGCTGCAAATGACACATTTGTGCAGGACATTTTATGCCCCTGTTTTTGCATTTCTTAATTAAATCCTTTGTAAATTCCTAATGTTGACTTCTGTTGATATATAACCATTTAGTTAGGCCACATAATTTCAGAGATAAGGGTAATCTCAGAGATATCTAGTTTGGTGCTTTTATTTCCTGATGCTGGTGCAGATGCAGAGGTGTTCCATTCATTGGTGCAAAGTCACTGAGCTGCCAGGAGCAGAGGTAGATGAGAACCCAGGTGCTCCAACTTTCTGCTCAGCACATCCTGTGCATGGCACCTGCACGAATGCCTCAATGAGCACATAGGCTGTAAGACATGACGTTCCACCATGCGAAAACTCTTAACAGTGTCTCGAGCAAGTACTTTTTTTGACAGAGGCAGTGATTGCAAAGATTTAGTGTGGATTAAAAACGTAAGGCAATTTGTATTAGGAAATGCCGGCTCTGTGAGACTCTATGGCAGACAGCCGTCTCCCACTTCTGCACTGGACAGCCAAGGCTGTCACCTGCTGTGAACTACAGATTTAGGAGAAAGAAAATCCCATGATGTAGCATTGCACGTCTCTGTGAAAAGGCATTTCTACCATTTGATCAGGGCATTACATGCCTCAGTTTAAGGAGCTGTCTTGATTTACTCAGACTTCGTGAGGCATGACTGGCTACTGATCAGATCCCACTCCAGATCAATTCACTCAGCATTTCCAGGATGGGCCTGGGCACTGTATTTCTGAAATCCCTCCAGATGGTTCCAATGTGTGGCCAAGGCTCAGCTCTCCAACGACTTCAATTCTATAATTTCATTATTTCTCAAATGTCTCTAATCCAGGATAAATATTTCCACTTCGTTTAAATTTCCTGAGTTCCAACATGTGGAAGCGCTTTGTGGTAGTCTTTCTGGCTTCCTCCTCGTGTGCTGTTCCAGTAACTCAACTTCACAAACTACATTCTAAGCAACTTCTCTACCCTGGTGTGCAGGGCATTCACACTGGCTTGGGGACAAAGAGGTTGGCCTGGGAAAAGGCCCTCCCACAGGGGTCGCTCCTGAACAGGACGTGGACGCGTAGGCTTTCAGGCTGCCCTGAACAGGTCACAAAATACTTGTCACCATTAAAGTGTCCAAGGCACATTTCTTCAGCACAAAGGTTTAAGCCAGGTGTCCTGGCAAGAACCAGATTCAAGGAATCATGTTCTCCCCCTTGCACTTTTTACTAGAATAGGTTTAACCTCTGTGCTGAGCCTGTGCAGGCAGCAAAGCTGTGACTGCAGTCAGTCAGCAGGACTTGGCTCTTCCTCACATGTGGAGGAGACAGACCCCATGTGGGATTTGAACACCGGGCCAGTTTGTTTCTAAGAAGTTTTGGGATTGTACACGACAAACTATTCTTGTAACAATGCAAGTACGACATCGAATCATCAGGGAGCTGGGTGTGTGCGCAGAATGGGCTACAGGAGTACACACGTTGCTTCTCAGGGCTTTCCACTGCAGCTGGCTGCAGAGCCTCCATGTGCTTAAGTGTCTGAAAGGGAAGGAACCACAACCTGCCAAGGTCCAATCTTGGATGGGGGTGGGGGCTAAATGCTATGCCACTGAAGCGAGGTTGCTGGACTCAACTACTCTCTCAATAACTATTCTATCAGCACAAGAGAAATGAACAATTCACATTCTTTAAAGATGTGGGGCTGAAAACAAGACAAGCTACTGGCTGGAGTTTCCTCAGTATCTCAGCCTCCAGTTCAAACAGGCAGAGAATGAGACATGTACCTCACATAATTATGTAAGTATCTGTGGTCTCTCTCTCTCTCAGCCTGCATCTCTGAAGAATCATGGCATGCTTTCATGGCCTAGAAATCTCCAGATTGCAGCACTGTAACTCTGAACTGTCCAAAACATCCCCTGCAGGATAACAGGGTCAAAACTTCCAAGTGGCTCCCAATG